TTTGAATGGGGCAAGATTTTCAAAATAAAGCTGAATATTTTTAAAAAGTATGAAGTTTAGGAAAATTATGAATAGATGCCTGCATGTCCTGAACAAGCAGAACATTTTGATACCTGGATGTATGCTGAAGTAGTTAAGCGGCAAGAAACGTACGGAATAATAATAATACTACTAATACTAATAAGTAATTGGATAACATAGTATGGATGCTGATTCAGCATCCATACCTTGTTGATGCTGAATCAGCGTCCATTCAATTAAGAACCGCAACTGTATCCTCTCCATCTGAATCTGTACAGGTGTAATTACAGCCACATTAGCTCCACAAATAAGACACACGGGTTTACCGGCAATGTCAGTAAACATATACTCAGCCTCCCACCGGTTTTGAAAAGCTCTGTTTTCAGAATCAACTTTTCTCTTGGCCATTGTTAGGGGCTAGCTTTGACTTGAAATTAGGGTTGTATACATCAACAGACGCTTCATTGATCTGACGTAATTGATGCGGGAATGATCGTAGGTAGCTTATTGTTCCGTAAGGCAGCTGTTGCACTGCATTATGGGATTTGTGGTTTGTGTGTTATCAGCGCTTCATATTGCCGGGCCATTAAAATAAGATATATAAATTGATCTCGTGGGCCGGATGTAATTGTACGACAGGCCGGATGTGACCCGCGGGCCTTGAGTTTGACACATGTGAGTTTGAGCCTAGGCTCAAGTTTGTAAAATATAAAGGAGTGTGTAAGTGATACAGAAGCTGGAAAATAATACTTTGTATTCAAAGAAAGAACGTGAGAGAGAGAGTGAAGAGTATAAGTACATCGAAGCCGAAGAAAAGGAAGTGAACGTCCAGAGTGGCTGTGGAGAACGCTGAGTGGGTGGGGTGGTGGAGGAGGAGGAGGAGGAGGAGGAAGAGAGCTGAAGCTGGAACTAGTGGTCTCAGCCTCCTTCTCAGATTTATCCCATAGTGATGCAAGCTCCTCCAAACACATCCTGACAGCTGCTCCCTGCCTGGTTACAGCACTCCTCGGCCTGCCCAATAACACTTTAATGCATGGCTTTCCCCCACAGAGTTTATCAATGCAGCTCCATTTAGACTTATTAGTATATATTCTCTTATTACTTTTTGTTTTTCATTTAATCCATGCACCAGTGGGACCACAGCATCACATACACACTGGATCTTCTCATTTTAAGTGTGTCAGGGAGTGGTGTATGAAGCTTCCGTGAATGTGGAGGTGTGAACCCGATTAAAGAGCCAGTAGTCAGAGACAAGGTGGACAAAGTTTATTACTTTGATTTGATTTGATTTATTCTTTCAAACATGTAAAGACAGTCAATATGTCAACACACATAATTTCACACATATCCACAAATGCATTATCAATTTGCTTATACCTAGTACATGCTTGAACGGAGTAGGAAGAAGTTAGACTTATCTAGTCCTACCCCATAACATCATCTTACCATCATTGGTTTGCAAGCAGTATTTCTACATAGATAATTTTGTTCTACACCACCCGCTTCAGGTAGCTCAGACGAAGGAGGGACGGATTCAGAAAGCCTGTATCGATGAGGTGAACCCCGGTTGACGTCAGCTGGTGATGTCACTGGATAGAGGGAATTCCTCCGAGTGCAAGAAGAAAGACTGACAGTTAATAGTCCACCCACAACTCACAGGGCAGAGTCCAAGAAACACCCACAGGGTGTTTCTTTAGTAAGTGTCTTTGTTAAAGAAGACGGGGAATCAACAAACCCAGTAAGAACTAGGCTGGGCTTTTTTCACATTCAAAGTTCAAGGTCATCCATCAGTGTACTCATAATACGGGGCAGGCAACACTCAAGGTTGTGAAGGCAGTCCAGAGTCAGAACAAAAACAGCTCACGGTTTTGGAGGGTCAGGCAAAGCGCAAGTCTCTAGGTTCAGTTCACGGTCGAGGTAGACAGCAGCCCAACAGGTTAGGACAAGGCAGAATCTTGTTGGTAATGCAGGCAGGGTCATAGGCACTAGAAGATAAATGGCTGGAGAGTCTAGACAAAGCATAGAACAATCTGGCAGCTTCCCACTAGGTGAGAAACTGCTATATGCTGTCGTAAGCAGGTGTGAGTAACTGAGAAGCATGTGAAACCAATTTGAGTAATAAGGTAAAGCTCCCGGGAGTCAGGGTGAGCTGGGAACAGGAAGTGATGTGAAAGTAAAAGTGGATTACTGGAAACCGAGGGCCAGGGATTGTGACAAACTGAAGATACGATGTCAGAAAAAATAAGCCATTATTCTTACTCTACCCATCTCAGGCACTGTTCTTCCTGAGTGATTAAATATAGCAAAAATACACTTGATGCTTGAGATAGTTGAAGGGCCTTCAGTGTGTTTATATAATGGTTCCCTTACCATTAAAGTACTGTACCAATGTAGTAATGACATAATTCCTTTTCCAGGAACTCCACAATAAAACATCCAAAGGGCTCTATGACATATACGATGAAAGTGCATTATTAAAATGACATAACAAAAAAATGGTCCAACTGTAGTGCAAATTCAAACAGAGAAACTAAGGTTAATATTTCTGTGAAATCCAACAAGTCCTCCAACCTGTACAACTCATATGGTTGTTTGTCCCTTCCCTCTCATACTCCTAAAGTCCCAGGAGGAATTGCATGATTCCTGCCAAAATTAATGACAACATGTGTCACACTACCAAGCTTTATGGACCTTTGTTATCACGGACACAGCAATAAACAAGCAATTCTGACTTTTAGGTCAGAATTCTGAGTTTAAAGTCAGAACTCAAATATATATTTTTATAGTGGCCCAAATCATCTTCTGTAGTTTGATGACATGTAGAGGAATTTATGTTCTGTAATTAGATTCATTTTACACACTTAGATTTTAGAAAGCAGACTGATCATGTATAGGCGTATGCAGAGAGGTAAATGTCATGCGAGTGAAACCTGTGATTTTTAACATCATCCATGTGTATTTCCTGATTATGCCCATTTTTGGAGACCACTGTCATGTAGTCATGCAAAACTAAAGAATACTTTTCAATTCAGACCAGGCTAAATTTTCCTTGCACCATTATTTCACTATGAACACACAAAAGGCTATTAAGTTACTACTCTCAGTGGAGTTGGGGGAATTTCCGTGGTTACATTGTTAATATCAGACCCATTCATCTGCCTTTGAGAGACAGGCTTTGAGTAAGGTTTTAGGACATTCCAGAATGTCCTTTATAATTTTCCTTATATCCCGTTAATGAAATTTGAGTTGCTTCCCTGAGGTAACATAGTGATCTCAATCTAAAGTAATTAAGAGAAGTCAACTGTGAAACTTGTTACAAAAGCTTCAGTACATGGAGTTTTATAAGAAAAATAGACAGATTTTGTTTAGAATTGATAAAGCCCACTTTGAGACTCTGTTAGATATCAAAAGGAACATTATTACATGACCAAATCCATCACAGTCTGTAACAATCCCATTTTGGCCAGAAACTCTTGCTCTCATGGCAACTGCCAGCATCTCACCGCAGAAGAACGAGAAATGTACTGGAGGAACTCAGTGCCCCCATGTCTCACAGAAAAACCAGGTTTGCGTCAACATGGAGAAGATGGGAAAAATCAGACATGAGAAACTATTCCTAGCTACAAGTAAAGAAACTCTTCCTCTGCTCTCAGTCATCACAGTGCTTTTCATTATGTTTTCAGTCCAGATATGAAGTCTGTCTAATGTTTTAAAGATGGTGAATTCATTTCCAGAGTAAAAACATCTCTATGTCCACTAATCAAAAATAATGAAGTTTTGGTTTTACAACAATATGCAAGACCTTCTCGGATATTCAAGATAAGACCACTCTCATATTTATCCTCAGTCTTCCCTCCTACTTCAAAGACATGATGTTCCAGAATCACACCTCCTGTGTGGACTACTTTGGTATCCAGTAGTGTTCAGACTTTAGATGCCATGGAATCTCTAAGCTTGCTATTATCATGCTGATTAACATAGTCTGGACACAGAACAACGTTTAAATGAATGTTAAATGCTGTATTAAAAGTCAAACAATACTCAACTTTATCTGTTTGTACAGTTCAACCTGTAATACACTGAAAGATTGAAACAATACATATACTGATGATAGCTTGATTCTATGAGAAAAAGACCAAGCTTCATTTCCATGGTTTATGCTGGATATGACCTGGATATGGAGTATCCCAAATGAAAGAACAACTATTGGCACATAGCTGAAGCCCACCTACTCTTAACAGCCAATGTCTTGTCACAGCTGACAGTTGTGCAGATACAGTAAGTGACTCATGCATTCTGTGGAATGGTGCAACAGGCAGGAAATTGGGAAACAGTTGAAGAACACTTACGGAAAAACCAAGGTAATGTTGCTATTTTTTCAAACCACCATTATCCACCACTGCCATCCATCTGTTTATCTTCTTCTAGCACCAGCTCATTCTACTATTTAAACAATTCCAGGTTAAAACAGTCCAAATATATCAAATGGCATACAAACATCCATGGTGAAACTCAAAATCATTGCCTAATCTACTCTGCCTTCAGTGCATTTCTTTGCTCTTACACTGTTTAATATCCCTGTTTTGTTAAAATTTTTCCTTAGTTTGCCTTTTGTTTCAGTCATGTTGTGTATTTGACACTGTTCAGTAATTAGTCATCTGATTTTGACTACTTCTGATGAGGCAGTATTTATCTATTCATATTATTTTTGCCTGTCAAACCTTCTTAGGCCAGTGACATATTGTTAAACATTTCTCTTTAAGAAACACTTATAGACAGTCACTTTCAAGGGGAATTAAAAACTGTAGGTTACACAGACTCCTTTGAACTTTAACGAGTCTGGTAAAATATATCCATAAGAGTCACTGGTATTTGTATAGATTAGGTGTATAGGCTACACAAATCCTTAATTACAACATAGGTATTTCGTTGTTTTGCTGAAAATAGCCTACAATATCGCTGCACTAACAATGCGACTTGTGTTTTGGTAAACTGTACCTTTAAGGGGACCCGGAAGTGGTAGTAAAAACGGACGTTCAGAATTCTCAATGTAACTTACTGAGATTAACTTTATTAAGACTTAATACTGTGCGCAAGTAGTGTTTAAGAATCAACAAAATGTATCTTACCACCGTAAATAGTAAGTATCCCTCTCCCCAACTGTCTGTAGTTATTCAAAGAGTCGGGTACATGCTTATGCATGACTGTCTCGAACGTAGCTCAATTAACCAACTCCTTTGATAGCTGCTAATTGTCCAGTGTTGGCTAGCGTTACCTAATGTTATTTGTGTGTTTTATTGCGCTTTCATTGTAAGATGTTCTGAGTTGCTACTGTTGTCACATTTCCCCGTTGTCACTGTGTATTTAGTGGTTAGTTTGAGCTAACTGTTAGTAGATAAATCTTAGCCAACTTGTAGCTAACCCTTTTCCGAAAATAGGCTGTTACATTGGTTTAGCTTGTTGAGCTTTAGTGTTAGTCGTGTTCTGCCTGATTCACATGTTCTTTCTTTTCTTTCGTGTTTCAGTGGCCAAAGCAAAAGCAAAGTAAGTAAAAGTCGGTGAACATATTAAAGTCGATGTTGTAACAATTTTATAACTGATGGTATCCTTAACTGTAACACGTACAAGCTACATGAACTACGCGGCGTTGCAGTTGCATTAATCTCGTTAGCATTGTTTCCTTGTGTCAGGACCATCCTGGTGCAGATGGTGAGCGCTGCAGGGACAGGCTACGCCTTCAACACAAAGAGGAACCGTCTCCGAGAAAAACTGGTGCTGCGCAAACATGATCCATTTGGTAAGTTTTGACTGCTCGTGCCAACTGAGCTCCGCAGAGGCAAGACACACGTCACAGCTCCTTATGCATTGCTCAAATGCGCCGTGCTTTATTACAAAGGTCTAAATCAGGGGTGTCAAACTCATTTTAGTTCAGGGGCCGCATACAGCCTAATTTGATGTTAAGTGGGCCGGACCATTAAAATCATAGCATAGCTCATCATCATAGCTATAAATAACAATAAATTCATGTTTCCCCCTTTGTTTTAGTGGAAAGAAGTACAATCACATTAGGATATATTTTTATTTAATGAACTATCCTTTTACAAAACATGTTATGAACAACTTCAGACTTCTCAAGAAAAACGTCCAATTTGCTTCAGTTTATCATTTACATGTGTGCATTACAACAGATCGCAGTGACTGTACAAAGGCACAAAACTTTAAGTCACAGGTATTTAGAACTGAAAGATATGACAGCCTATTGCACTTTAACATTAAATCAACTTATCAAGATATAGGAACATCAAGATATAGGAATTATTTTCACTCCATTTTCCACATGTGTAATAATTCTCAAAGCTAAAATTGACTCCCCACATTTTACAAACCAAAGTGGTGGCCATTTTAAATGTATAAGAAAGAAAGTAATCACCTGGCCTGTAAATATAAGATTTATACATGAAACATGCATAAAGAAATGCATACATAAAATTTATGACCAAATATAAAAAAAATGCATACATAAAATTTATGACCAAACTCTTTTGTAGTGAAGCTGGTGACAATTTTTAACTATTATTACAAGGGTTCATTTTAGCCTGCACAACGTGCATCGGTATCAGGCGTTAAGTCCTGAGTAGCAGCCAGTTTCAGAATGTCATTTAAGTGTTGGTGTGTCTGATGCAGCATTTTACAAGAATTAGTCTAGTTTAGACTACTTTGTTTTTGCTCCTGAAACTTGGCATCTTTTAGCCTGCACAAGCGCATCAGTGTCAGTCATGTCCTGAGTAGCAGCCAGTTTCAGAATGTCATTTAAGTGTTGGTGTGTGAGCCTTGAGTGCAGTTTTGTTTTAATTAATGTTCATTACTGAGAAAACCTGTTCACAAAGGTAGGTAGTCCCAAAAATGCACAAAATATTTGCAGCTAGGGCTGTTAATTTGGGGTAGCCTGGCAGGAGATACTGATAAAATGTGTCCAGCAGCAATCCTGAAATCTTGTGTATGTACCGTTTCATGTCAGCATTAACGACAGTTGCACGTACATTTCTTAGACAGGGGAAATGAGCAGGGTCACCACATGCCAGCTGTGTCTCCCACAAAGTCAGCTTCAACTTGAATGCACGTATAATACTGTTGAAACTGTTTCTCAAACTCCCACAGCAATCCTGAAGTCTTGTCTTTGTACCGTTTCATGTCAGCATTAACGACAGTCGCGTGTACATCTCTTAGACAGGGGAAATAAGCACTTTCCAGCTGTGTCTTCCACAAAGTCAGCTTCAACTTGAACACACATATGCTGTCATAATACTGTGTGACAGCTTTTTTAACGGCCTTGCAACATTTTGTTCAAATTATTGAGGTGCTCTGTAATATCCACCATAAATGCAAGGTCCTGCAGCCATTCCGGAGATTGCAATTCCATCACTGGTTTTCCTTTTGTCTCCATAAACTGTCCAATTTCCTCTCGTAGCTCAAAGAAACGCTTCAGCACAGCGCCTCGGCTTAACCATCTTACTTCAGTGTGGTATGGCAGGCCATGGGTAATGTTATTGTCACTGAGAAGGCAGTCAAACTGACGATGATTCAGACCTCTGGCTCGGATAAAATTAACAGTTCGGACAACCACCTCCATGACGTGATCCATTTTTAATGACTTTTAACACAATGCCTCCTGGTGCAAAATACAGTGAAATGTCCAAAAAGCATCTCCTCCATCCGCGGCTTGTACTTTCTCTCTGAATTTTGTCACAATGCCTGCTTTTTTTTCGATCATTGATGGCGCGCCATCTGTAGCCAAGCTGACAGTTGACAGCACGCAACCAGTCTACTCCGACTCTGTCCAGTGCACAAATGAGAGAGCTGAAAATGTCCTCTGCTGTTGTGGTGTCCATCATCGGCACCAACTCAAGGAACTCCTCTGTGACGGCCAATGTCTCATCAACTCCACGAATAAATATGGCCAGTTGAGCAACATCTGTAATGTTAGTGCACTCATCAATTGCAACAGAAATAGCAATAAATGACTTAGCTTTGTGTTTCAGTTGGTTGTCCAAATCTGCAGATAGTTCCGAAATCCTCTCTACAATAGTATTCCTCGTCAGACTGATGTTGGCAAAAGCTTGTCGCTTCTTGGGACATATGAGTTCTGCAGCCTTCAGTATGCTTGTTTTGCCTGTGGGCCGTACGTTTGACACCCCTGGTCTAAAACATTGGGAAATGTTATTTCTAGCTCTTGGTACTGTGGTTCAGATTTACTGGTGACAAAAGCATCTGACAAATAAGTGTCATGTGATTTATCCCACAAAATTCTATCAAGATATACATGACAAACCCATGTAAACTGAAACAGTGTTGTCGGTGTGTCATGAAGGGCATGCTAAACTACAGCCTGAACTTTTAAGCATAGCAGCATAAGCACCAGCATCTAAACTCTGTGTAGTAGGAAGACATTGTAGAATTTATCAGTTACCTTCAGGAACAATAGCCATTACTACATTTGAAATCCTAAAGGAAGCAACATTAATTTCTAATGCAGGACAACTTTGCAAATTATTGTTTTGAGGCTGTAGGGTTCTTTAAGAGCAAGATTTTGAAGTGCACCTATTTATTTACTGGTTGGAGGTTGTAGTATAATTTTAGAGAGGAAACTAGTCATAATGGGGTTTATTTAAACGTTTTTATGGAGGGCTTATATCTATATATGTAAATATATTACCTGCCATGTGATGTGAACATTGGGAGTTATGCTTATTTTAAAATCTGCTATTTGTCTTTGCAGTGAACAAGCATGTCCTATTCTTTGAGAAGAGGAAGATCAGATCGATTTAACAGCGCACCAAAATATATGGACAACATAAACCTATGTTGCCATGGGTTATACGAGGTGTTTGTCATTCAACATCTGACTGGCATCTGACATGTTCAGAGGACTTGGATTTGTTTCCCCCCTGCACCAGTTAAGCATGCACCCTGAGCGACATCTTGAGTATTGCTACCTTAAACGAGAAATTGCTACTCCTGTAAAACTGAGGTTTTTTTTATTGAGACCACCATAAGTGTGTTGGTCTACACATTTCATTTATGGTCGTAACATGTTTTATGGCTGTTCAGCATATCTATTGTTGTAGAAAATAAAATATATTTAAACCTGGTACATGCAATTAAACCATTTACAAAATATACGTTTGGGGTGATTTAATAAAGTAAGTCAATTATGTGCCATATTTGTGTGTTAGTAGCATTGCCATCACATAAACACTATTCATGTGTTATATTGACAAAGTGAAGTCATATTCACATTTCTGTTAAAATAACATTTGTTATATTATTGACAAGTTTATTCTCCAAAAGTAGCCTATTTTATAAGACAGTCCAGTGTTCCCAGTGAGCAGAATCCAGTAGAGACATGGCCCGTTTACGCTGATTCCTGGCTCTCAAAACAGTTCAACTGGTAGGTCCTTTTTGAAGGGGAAAGACGTCTGCGTGCCGACAGCCTGCACACTCACTTCTGCCACCTGATTGGCTCTGTGGGCCATCTCTTCCAGAGGCATTGTGGGATAATGAGCCATGTAAAATGCCAGCGCTCCAATAAAGCTGTCTCCAGCACCCTGGGAAGAAACAATATTACAACACAGCTTTATTAAATTCCACCTTGTGGTGCAAACACTTCCACTGTGGAACTGTGCCCTACTCCACAGAATCATGAAATCTGGTGAGGCTACACTGATGTGCATGTGAGGAGAAGGAAAACAATGATTGGAGTGCTCCCATGTAAAAATGGGTCATATATCTAACCTTTAAGAAGTTTCATTTTGTGCTTTGAAGATTATATGAACAGCTTCTGAAGAAATATTAACACGAGGGGTTCAGCTTTTAACTGTTACCACTAGGGTGCGCTATGTCATTTGGCAGCTGCTTTTACTGTTGCCTGACATCTTAACTAGTTTGGAAGGACCTATTGAATTTTTGCCGTGTGAAAATATCTCATGTAGGTTTTTCAGAGAAACATTTGTATTATGAGCATTAATCCTATTCACACGGAACTCCTCATAACACTAGAAGAGTAATTAAATAGATGTAATAAGCTCAGGAAATATCTTAAATGTGGTAAGACTATTACATAGAATCCTTAAATATACTGCTCAAAAAATAAAGGGAACACAACATAAGACATCCTAGATCTGATGTGTTCCCTTTATTTTTTTGTGTAGTGTATTTTGAACTGACTAGACAAAAGAAGCAAAAGTGCCAAGTGAGTTTAAAAAATTTTTTTTAATTAAAAGGTTAAATTAAAAAAGGTTTGTGTTGATATCATACTGTATAACTGCCAAATTAAGCTTAATGAACACCAATTTACAGTAAAAAAAAAAAAAATGAAATGACTAATAAATGAAAATAATTTACTAATTGCTTTTCAAAATCAGCTGAATAGCACATGGATTCTTTAGCCACCTGTCAGTGGCTTCACCATAACTGCCAAAAGTTCTGTTTCTGGCCAACTGTACGAACAGATAAATCATCCCATTCTCCCTCCTCATCTACTGATAGAGATGGAATGTGCTGTCTGCGCCCTGGAGGGAGTTGGCTGGGATGGGATGCCGAGGGAGGAAGGGAGGGGGAAGGGTTCAATGATGGGAAAAGGCACAATGGTATGTGGCGACACACTCATGTTTAACCACAAATGGCCCCCTGACGCTGGTTCTCACAAGCCCGCACCATTACTCATCACTCCGGCTCTCAAAGGAGTTCATTGCACTCTCTCTTCTGAACACCTCTCTAAGCCCCCTCCACTCCCAACCCCCTTCACCCTCCAACCTCAAAGCAACCCTTTTGTCAGAGCGAAGGTTATTGGTTGTGTGGAGTAACATGGAGCAAAAAAACATAAACCCTAACCCTGGTTGGGCAGGGAGAGCCACGCACTAGGAACAGAGAGAGGTTCGTGGTATACAGGACACCCAGAAGTCACAACACAGACATTGTCACGAGCGCCTGCACTGGTAGGATTTAAAGCATTCTTTGTTCAACCATATGAAGAAAGAAAATAATTTTAAAAAATGTTCTGATTTGACAACTGAAAAGGACAACACTGCACCCCAGCCTCACTCTGGTGAGCACCACTGGTGCTCTTGGACTGGAGAGTGAGATCAGACCGGGAGCATTTTGTAGGCCTGGTGGATTTCCATAAAGCCATGGTGTGTTTATGTCTCCTGTCTCCAGCATTTGGAAATAAGGCTTTGGTGAAGCAAATCCACTGGTTTGGCTCTGGCCCGTCTCGTAATTCACACTGTGGTTGAAATCAGAGTAACGCTCTTGAGTGGCCAGACAAGGCCAGATTTAACAACTGTATTACAGAGCATTTTGGTCTTTATATTCATAGCCACACAAATACAGTTTCCCTTCTTCATTTGTGCTTTGAATCACCTGTTGACACTCAACTAATGTAGTACCAAATCCTGGCAAAAACAACCACATTATTCTAGTCAGACTATGAGAGGGTGGGGCTGAAACAGGCTTCTGAAAGCTAATACTTGTATTTACAGTAGAAGTAAACTTCCTAACAGCCAATATATCATTAATTTGGCAGACAAAGATTGATACACTTCATGTTAAAAATAGAAAATAATATTAACTGCTATACCCAGAACTGTATTCTTTTGAAGGTGGGGAAAGGGAAGCATTTACATTTAGAATATGCTCCACTGCCATTACAAATAAATCCCCTTTCTAAAAAGTCTTGACTGCTATTTCACTGGTTCATTGGGTTTTCCATTATTTTAAAATTATTTTGTCCTGGAAATTACTGTATCACTATTTTCTTGCCATGATTTAAAAACAGAACTGCAGATAATAATGCAAATTCACTAAGTTTCACAAGAAGAATTACAGAAATATATAAATGGTGAAACCATAAAGACTTGTTTAATACTTCAGAATGGAGGCTTGAATGTTCGATTAGGCTACTTGTTAACCTGTCTGTGTAACTTACAGACAGTCCAGTTTGTGTGCTTAAACTAAAAAAAATTTTTCACACAGCTTAATTACAAGCTGTGACTTTAGCATGAAAAGTAACCAGAAGATAATGCTGCAGGTGTCTGTTTTTCAGTATGTGAACACATAAACACACAAGTACCCATGCAAATAATCTTGGAGTTCCAGGTATTGGGGGCCTAAAGTTTGGCAAGAATTCCTGGGAAATACTAAAATCTCAATTCTTGCTACTGTATAACTATTATGGTCTGTAACAAAAACAATTTGTCAGCATCTCTGTATCACTGGTACATTGTGTCCAATCCACATGCTAATGTTTTTAAATAATAAATGAAAGCAACACTATCCTAAAAGTTGGAAAATGAGGACTTCTAAAGCTAGATAGCCGCATATTGTAGTTTTAAGACAAACCCATATGTGCCAGACTTATGGAAATAATAAGTAGACACAACACTGGGAAAAAATCTATTTCATTTCACAGCTTATATCTTATTTTGGTAGGGCAAACCATCCTGAATGAATTGGGCTACTTGCAAACTAATGCCACTAACACCTTCACTCTCCAATCTATACTCTGAGCCACCACCCACCCTCTATCTGTCTCACTAACAGATTTAGCTTCCCTCTGACTGACATGTGACTCTACAGGAATGAAGCTCAACAAGGCTGACAAGCGCTACTCCTTTCAGCTCTGCTGCCGCTGTCTTCGACACACTTTGGTGAAGGTTAGATCTGCAGGCCCGTCAATCAAGTGACACAAGCGTTCGCTGTGGATGAGCTTTGATACTCTCAGTGGTTGGCTCCATGCGCCACATCTTGACCTCTGTCCTGTTCTTCTGCCTGTTCTCTGCTGGCACTCAGACTGAAGTTAGAAATTAGGATGGCAGACATCTCTGTGAGAAGCTCACCAAATTAACAGTGTATGGCTTAAGAAATGCTCTGCAGTTTGACATGCTGGTGGTGTGATACTGCAATAAAAGCATGTCAGAGCGCAAGTGAACTGCTTCCACAAATCTCTCTGGAACTTTTTTAATTTGGGTTTGTTTTAATCCAATCTAACAAAAATGTATTTTACTTTATTTAGGTCAAATGTAATTACTTGAATGACAGCTTGAGCTGCTTTAACACAACAGTGACCTACAGCCACTGGAAGCGTTCCATTTGCTGTTGTGAACACTTTTGTGCCTGGTTGGCTTTCACTGACAAAACTCCATGGAAGTGACCTTTTTTAAACACTTCTGACAGCAGCATGAGTGACATGTGTTTGGAATAAATAGAGGACAAGCTGAATAGCTGAGTAGCAATAACTGCCATGGCTGTACAGACAAACAAAGAAGTGCATACAGAAACACAGAGGTCCATCAACACAACAACCAAGGACAAAGACAGTGGTAGCGCCCACACGCTTTGATTGACAAGTGATCTTTGTAAAGTGCAGTGCACAAACACCACAGCAGTGAGTGTTAAGCTCCAAAACACAGACAATAAAAAAAGCAGATCTAAGAAAGAGCTCCACAATGTATATCTTTCATGTTACAGTCTGCTGTGTTCACTGAACCTTTGGAGCCTACAGAACTGGTTGGTGACTGTGCTTCTCACTCAGAGGCTTCCTCTTGACTTCTGTCCTGGTGTGTCAGATGGAGTTATGTGCAAGTTAGTTCCTAAAGCCCACAGCCTTTGTCAATGAAAGGCATCCCACAGAGAGCAAAGACCAACTAAAAGGCTTCGATGACTCACACTGGCTTACATGTCCTGAAGCTTCCAGTAAGACTTGCAAACAGCCGGGGACGACTCCTCGGAGGTGGCGAGGGAGGAAGATACAGTATAGAGATCAAAAAACATGTTTAATTAGACCAATTAGGCCTTTCACATTTTTGATCCATCTACAGTGCTTTGTCTTATTCCAGTTCTGGGTATAACACTGATTTACATGACTGTGTACTGGCAGAGGACTGGCATAACATTTGGGCTGCTCTACAGCAGCTGCTGTAGAATGTGCAGTCCATTAAAATATGGTGATGTGGCAGTTTTCTCTGGCCCAGAGTTTACAATGCAATATGCATTTTACAATGCATGAAATATTCCCTTACTTTGAGCTTCCAGGAAGGAATCACGCAATTGGTCCTTAAATGTCTCCAGTCATAGAATAAGACTGGGAGAGGAATCATCGAGTTTGTTCTCTGCACCTCCATCACTGTCTGGTTTGGCTCAGCAACCAAACAGGACAAGTACAGACTTCAGCGGACAGTCAGGACTGCAGAAAAGGTCATTGGTGTGAGCCTGCCCTCCATGGAGGACCTGTACACC